CATAGCCGAATATGGCCTCTCGAACACTGGGGACGGTTACATTGTTTGACAAAACCAATTATCATATAAGCAGAAGGCGTCGACCAATGAGAAGGCTCCATTTCCCATCGATTATCAGGTCGTAACCTCAAAAGTGGTCGGTTATTGGAATAACCGACCACTTTTTTGACCGCACAATTATACAGGGGACAGGGCATTACTATTTATATCCTCTGTGTATATGGTGAGATGATCCCTGGTCAGGTGCGATAACCACCGAATAAACCACCGAGTGAGCGTATCCCACCATATACACCTCGGGGCGGGGCATTGACCCTTTACATTCTGATATTTTGTGGTGGTGCCAAAAAAATGAGTACGCCGTGTGTGGGCAGTTTTATTGTCAACCATAAATGTCAGAAATGTGGCATAATAGCACAAATATGTTCAAAAGTATAAGTAAATTACAATCATTTGAATATTTTTTCTTAATTCAAAATACTAAAATGTTTGATGCAAAAATGTTACATAATGCCCCTTTAAAGATTGAATCTCATTCAAGAACAGCTTTGTTATGGGTCATAATTTCTGGTGTCACTCGTAAATAGAGGTACATGTATATAACTTATAGAGGGTGAGGGGGCCTCCGCGTACTCCCGATTGTACTAGCAGATAATAACTTGAAAAATCCGGGAAACTATCGACCAGTATCATGCTTATCAACCCCAGCACAACATTTACACATTCCTTTACATCTCACTAACCTGTTCCACTCACTGAGGCGCTGTCATGTTTGTTTGTTTTCCAAGCTAACACTTCATTTCCAACTCCCCGAGACGAACCGTGGATCCTATAGCCTCCACCAGGCTTACACCGCGGTTTCAAAAACGATAAAATTTAGTATCCTTCACCAGGCATTCCTACGGGGGTACGGGATAGAGACTAGAGTTTATTTGCCATTCTGAGAAGAAAAAGAAACCCTAACGGTGACCCATTCTCCTGTCCAGTAAGACCCTGTTTTGCCGAAATCTTCGGTCCTAGCCCCCTCAGAAAGGCCTGGTGGAGGCTACCGCAGCCTGACTTCTACAGTGTAGCCTCTACCAGGCATCGGGAGACGACTGGAAAGAGTAGAAATTAGGCAAATAGAGAGATATATAACATGCCGAAGGAGTTGGTCCGCTAGAGAGTACATTTTGTGGGTGCTATATTTACTCTTTCAGCCGCCTCCGGAAGCCTGGTAGAGGCTACCGCGGCGCACCTGTCCACGGTGCCGCTTCCCTGGGCCTGATCCTCCGGCAAACCCGGCAGGTATTACCCTCAGTGCCCGGCCACCCGCTTGTTGTGATAGCCCGTGCCTGCCGGCTTGAGAAGGCCTTTCAGGGCCTGTGCGCGCGGATGCGCTCCGCTCGGCCCGTCAGATGAACACCTGCGTTCAAAAGGCGCCGCCGCCTCTCACCTGTCCTTCATGTGACACAGGTGAATCGGGAGGTATGGAGCTTCAAGCAGATGTTAGGAGGGAAAATCTTTCGTGCAACTACATGTTGATTCTTGATGATAACTAGCGAGAAATTATGGTAAAATAGGCTACTTTTTAGTCGGGTTTTGAGGTGGCCGGGATCAAAGATGGCACCCGCTGGGTCATCTAGTTAGGTCACTGGGACAAACCTACAACAGGACATGAACTCTGAAATCTGTATCTCTGTCTTATCTTGTCGATGTGCTTTGTGTAAGAAGACACAACTTGTCTAAGACGACCAGATTCTATAGGTACTCCCCTGGTGGCCATTTCGTTTTTCTCGAGTGCGCACGTGTCCGAATGTGTATTGGAAAATTGGAAGGTGTATTGGAAAACAAGTCGGCTGTCAACCCCGCCGATTAACATCTGCTTGGAGCACAGAAAGCTAGGAAGATACATGTACTCCAAAAACTACTAGTAGCTTGATTCAAAGTAAATGGAGAAATAAGAATAAACCAAGTGTTGCTGAGGCCTTTTCCAAAAGTTAACCTGAGGAAAAGTACACTTGTGTGTCTTACACTTTTACTAGTTTTCTTCCTACTATACTACCTACAGCATTCAAACGAAATCAAGAGAGAAACGAGGGAAAAGTCATAGTCATAGTCGGATAGATATATAAAAGAACACAGAGAAGTCACTTGAAAAGACAATCTACTATAATAATTGAAAATCGAAAGTCTTGTATGCACCTGTTTGTACATAGGAAACACAATACAAAGTACGTGGCGGGCATGTTGAACTAAACTAGCTAGATTTGTAGATGATGTTTTGTAGAAAACATACCTAAGTGTACATGTTAATTCAGCTACTTCTACTTTGAATAAGTCACGTCAAGTCAAAGTTTATTGCAAAACAATTTTAATAGGTTCAGTGAAAAGCAAAGTATGGAACCCATATGATTTAGTACAGTTGAAAGTGAACGCAAAGGATAGAAGCATTGGAATACATGTATGTCACTGTCAGCAACAGTTGTCTAGTGATTGAAACACTTTGCAAGCTTCCAGGCATCCCAACTACGTATTGTCCCTCCTTTCTCTGTCTTGCCCACCAAAATAACAACACAAAAACCCTTAGTATCATTGTCTTATTGTTAGCCCATATCCTCCGTAACAATACGACAGTTTCTAGGCTATGTTATCGGCTGTATGTCTTCCTGTGTACGCGGAACTGCCCTGTATGTTGTGTATATGTGTCCGACTTGTTGTGTAGTGTAATTGGCGTTATCTCGCCTTGTATCTGCGGGACTGGGTACACTTGAGCCCCGCATTCAATGCGTGCCTGTGCGCTTATCGCCCCGTCTTATCGGCCCGGGACTGGCGATCTGCGATTACCCCTGTTTGTTTTGGGGACATCGGAGCTAATAGCTTTTCAACAAGTCCCTAGCTTGTGCTGGCAGGCCGCGTTTTTCCGCGGTGCAGGAGTTGTCGACCCGAGGTAAGGCGGCGTGTCGATGGGAGAGATAGGGGAGTGTGTGCCGAGGGGTGTACGGTGGCACTAGGGTTAGTCTAGCGAAGCGAAGCCAAACGTCGGGGATTTGGAGAGAAAGGCTTGAACGAGTTGCACAAACTTTTGTTGTAAGCTACCGACTGTTTTGATAGCGCTACGGCACTGCTTTCATTTCGCACGCGGCTACCGGAGAAGAAAAAAGCCGCTTACCTGTCGGACAAACACGCGCATTTCTGCACTTTTTCTCCGCACAGATAGTAATGTGTAGTAATGACAGGTTATGTGTATTGCGCGCTGGTGCTTTTCAAATGAAGTTTATCTTTGTCCGCGGCCCGTGGAGGATTTAAGAAGGAGATCTGAGGCGCCTTTGTTTGCCAGATTAGTGTGAAATGGAGCGAAAGATGGAAGTTTTTGTTCGGCTCATCCCTATTTGTTTTTCGGAAACACCTCTAATGATCACAATGTGGTGAGACCGCGGGGGGGGGGGTGAACTAGTGCGCGAGCATTCTACCAATATCATCCCACGGTCTTACAACAATACTTCGCCTTGACAATGGACTAAACACTAACTAGTAATTACCTTTTTCAACTTAAGATGTTTTTTGTTACAGTTCTTCCTGCTGTGCGAACAGGGTACTTTTATAGCTCATAATAACAGAAAGAAAACAAGGTGGCCAAGTAAAACTTTTCATGTTTCACACGATTTTTCGAAACGTTATTTTTCCTTCAGTCTCTCGCCTCTCCTGTTGTCCTGTAGTACTTATTGTTTTGTGAAGACAAACAGACAAATAAAGAATTCCTGCAATCCCTTCTTACGACGTATAATTAGCCAAATTAGCCCTGCAATACAAACTTCCGAGTTTTTTTCTCTCGCGGTCTTTCATCTGTGCGCCCGGGACAGCGGGACTCCCCACCCCGCCTGTTTGTGTTAGCCTCCACCAGGCCTTTCTACGGGAATACGGATCGTAGAATTCGGCAAAAAAGAGTAAAATTGGCCAAGGGAGTCCGGCCGCGGGAGGTAGTTTCTTTCCCTGCGCGGCCAGTCAAACCTACAAGGCGGCCAAACTCCCCTGGCAACTATATACAGCGTAGTTAGTCTGGTAGAGACTATGTTTGTGTATCGGCACCCCGGCGGCTTGTTTCAGTGTAACAAACTAGTTTTACTCCGTGTTTCCAAATACTTGCCGAGTTTGTTTTCCCTACTCAGTCAACCCGCCACATGCCTTGCCAAGTGTTAGGACATTATTGTCTCAGAAGGATACTTATCTTTGCCTAACTTTGTCCTGACGGTTTGCCGTGACCAAACATGTTCACTGCGGCCTGTTTGCCAAGTCTGCTGACCGTCTGTGGTCTTCAGGACAAGGGAAAGTCCACAACACTGTAGCCTGGATGCCAGACCCAAAGCACACTGGACACAAAATATCTCAGTGTGCACACTGAGATATTTTGTGTCCAGTGTGCTTTGTGTCTGGCATCCAGGCTACGACACTGCAGACTTCCACCGAAAACAAAAATACTTCAACATATAACAGTATCTCTGGATGGTCACCAATGGAAGAATGGCTGAAATTATATTCAGTCTATAACATAATAGTATGATATTTCCATAACAGAAATATATAAATATGTTACGTTCGGTTGTTTTTTTCTTACCGCCCTTTCTGAAGGAAAACACAATACAGTGTAGTACATACTAGTACAGCAGTCAGCTTTTTAACATTTCTCAGCTTGGCGGGCCGTTCTAGGCAATCAACTTGTGCGGGTGAAAGAGAACGAAATTATGAAGAAAGACGAATAAAATCCTGTCAATTTACTCCTATCTTTCTGTTTTGCTTCAGGGTCTTTGCTCATTTTCTTTCCTGTCAATTGTGTTGAATACTAATAGTAGTAGTAGTTTGTCCTTTTCATCGCTTTATTCTGAAATATGTGATCAGACTTGAATAGTCTACAAGACTGTACTGCACAAGATGGTACTTAAAGTACGATGCGATTTAAAGCTTGGGGAATTCGAATAACTTTTCTTACTTGCTAAACCGTAAAAAACGTTGTGTTACTACAGGGCCTGTTGTCACTGCGTGATTGCCCGCGGAGATGCCTGCTCCAGGCTGTTCACGAACTGTACGATCTGGAAGAGACCTCTGCCTGGCCTGAGAGCGAGACTAGGATTAACAGACTAGTTTTTATTGGTAAGTATTTTGATGTGTTGCAGCCATTTTTCCTTTATTACTGTTTTTCAGCATGGTCACTTTTAATATGAAAGATCGTAAGTTGGAAACTTTTTAAGAAAATTGAATTAGAATGTCACCATAGCAATAAACTTACGACAGAAATAAAGATACCAAAATGCCTGTATGTTAAAGAATGACCTTACAAACTTTGCATGCATGTTCCAATAATGTTCCATTGAAATTTGTATAAGTGACTTTTTAATTGGAAAGTTATAAATGTCAAGAAATATGGTGTATGTTTCCTTGGTTTACGTGGATATAGATATGATATGCCCTGTAGTTTCATTAAGTTCTGAATTCTGAATATAGAAGAACTCAATTGCAAGACAATTGTACAAGGTACAACGTATGGCAACAACTACTGAGCATAGTACAGAAAGAAAATGTATAAAATGAAAGTTAACATCATAATTACTGAACATCAAGAGATAATACAATCAAGTATACAATCAAGTAGGGCTAATCAGGAGTAGATATATGTTGGTTTTGTCAGCAGTATACTGCGTAGGTTTGCAATAACATGACATTGATGGGTACTGCACAACCGTGCCACCTGTAACGCTAAAGTATGGAAGTGGAAGGTAAAAATGACTGAATTTGGCCGTTCGGTCCGCGCGCCACTGTGGGAGTATAGAGTTGCCTGTCGTAGTGGTGGGAACCTCAGGCGCTGTGAGACTTCTGACCAAATTTGTCCCGTCCACTTCCCAGTCCCTCCACCTTCCCACACTCCGCCTGACGTCTGTGTAATCTGTAGGGGCTGTACAGATGCGAGTTCCCGTCCTACAATACCCGCCATATGTTCTCCCCGTTCTGCCTTACGTCTGAATACACCAAGTTTGTCCGCCTGCCTTTGTTAGGATGTGTTGAGATCATGAGTTGTGTCGGGCTGGTCAGGAAATTTCCTCCGTCCACGAAGCCAAGAGGAAGCTCTTTCAAACCCCTCAACTCACCGCCGACACTCACAAAGAACACCCAGACATATCTGTGGTCAATACACATACACGACAAAACAGAGATCGGCCTAACAGATGGACGATTTGTGAGAGAAGAAAAAGTGTTTTTATTAGTTTTTCCGAATCGGATCGCCTGTTTTTGTTAGGCGAATTTCTAAAGACGAGCTCCCGCTGCTTTGGTGAAAAACACAAGATTGGCGACTGAAATAATATTTGTTTCCAGACAAGCCTTTGGGTGCTGTTTAATAGAAAACCTAGAAGTTGTTGTCGTTCTTTTCTAACACAAAAAACGCATACGGAACGTTTCTACTGTGGGCTTATATGTTGTACATAAAGATTACTCTCCAAGTAGAGGTTTGGGTTTGGGCATATTTTTGACGTATTTCTAGGCATTTTTTATCGGGCTTTCTTTTTTGCATTGATATCTTTTTTTACATACCAGTGCAAAAAAGAAAGCCTGATAAACGATAAGTTTATTGCAAATTCCTGTCCTGAAGGCTAATTGCAAAAGATAAAAGAACATTGAAACTGGGTACAAAACAACTTCAAAATCTACATAATAACACAAGGTAATTGTCTAAAACTATAGCTATGTCTAAAACTATAGTAGATTTTTAAAAAAACTAAATACACGTCAGAAATAAGCCCAAACCTCTGCTTGAAGCAGTACGTGAAGATGGGGAAGGAGTAGCCTCTACCAGGCACCGCGGATCGCTGGAAAAATTGTAGAAATTGGCCGAAATAAAGGAATAATACACCAGGGGAGGTAGCCGGCCAGGTCGCGAATTGGACCTTCTCTGGCCGGCTACCTCCCCTGGTATATTATTCCTTTATTTCGGCCAATTTCTGCTATTTTTTCAGCGATCCGCGCTGCCTGGTAGAGGCTAGAGAGGGATTCACGTATAGAAGATCGTATCAATCTAGACAGGACCCCTACTGAGAAACAAACGAGCCCATCAGTTCATAAAACAATCGCGAAGTCTGCGGGCCGGGTCCCCACGTGTGGCGGCAACTGGGTGTAAATTTTGGCCCATTTCCTCCCTCAGCGGGATCCAAACAGCCGAGGTGTGAACGAGTATTAGCCCGGTATCCCCGGCCTTCCGTCTCACGTACGTGCGAAATGTCGCAAAAATGTGCCTCGAGAGCCGCTTTGTATCCATCCAGTGTACATTGATACACACTACCGTAGCGGCTATCTAGTACTAGCTTAGCATGCCAAAAACTGGAGGTTTTGGGGGTCTTCGGGGTCTTTGGGAGCTTTTATGCGCTATTTTCTGATTGCATACAGACAACATAGCCGGCCTGGTTGAATTACCCCCGTTTTTTAGGACTGAGCTAATCAGAAAACAGCCGAAGACTACCAAACCCCCAGTTCTATAAGCCTGTTACGGAGGCTAGTACTAGTAGCCTCCTGTGCAGGCCTCCGGGCGGGTGGGAGTTTTGATACTAGAATTTCTAACACGTTCTTTTGCCGGCCATGCACTACAGCCAGCCAATTCAACAAATCGCAGTATCAAAACTTCCATCCTCCTGGAGGCCTGCACAGGAGGCTAGCTATCTACGGCAACAAGTGGGGGCGAAATTCAACATAAAACGCAACTCATGTCGATTTAGAATAAAAGGCTTATAAAGCCTTTCTCTAACACAACACAATTTACTTGTTGGCGACTTTTCCGTGACTGATAAACAGTTTGTACATACACAGCGATCATGCGATTCACAAGTCAAAATGAACGCAACAGGATAGCTAAATATTTGTACTCCAAAGCGAATATCCAAAGCATATGCGCCCCCCCCCCTCCTGAGTTTTTCCAGTTCGCTACTACACGAAGCGTTCCAACAACATCTGTTGGTGGAGTATTTGTACTGATAACAATTGTGATGTTTTCTTTTGTTTATTTTTCCACCCAGGGAGGAATCTTGACCACGGGGTCCTTGCGGGCCGGCTGGCCCAGGCCGTGAAGTGACCACCACGTGCCTCCAGCCGCCGAAATATCGTCCGGCCAACAAAAACAAACCGTCCGGTCCTGGAGAAACACTCGCACGGGCTTCTGCGTGGGACACGTATATAATTAATAAGATCGATAAAAGTACCATTGGAATTTATTAATAAAATGGTCTTCATAAATTTTAGAAGGACATAGCATTGTCAGAACTGTACAATTTAAACGAATGTCAACAAAACATGGAGTGAAATGTATTAGATTTTATTGCAAAATTAAATATGTGTAATTAAAAGTCTTCTTTCAAACTTTGTTATCCGAAAACAGGTCATTTTATGGCCAATGGACTTTCTGTGCGTATATTTTTACGCGTATAGCTGTATGTACTATATACTGATTTCACTTGCCCTTCATGCTCAATTAAAGAGATGTTCTTTATATTTTGTTACAGTCTGCGTATCCTAGTAGTCATAGTGTGCTGGGTGATCTTAGAATACACAAAAAAAAGTACAGAACTAACATGTCTAGTTTCTCAGACTAAAGGAAAATAGTTTTCATATGTCAAGTGTGTATCTTTTGGTTTTTGTTGTTGTACTTCCTTTATTTTGAACTCATGAATATGAACTTCTCCCCACACGTGTCTTCTACTATAATTTCAACAAAGAAACCCACTGAGAGAAATGGCGAGTTGTAGAAAGTTGTCCAAAGCTGGAAGACGCTGTGTGTGTGTATCAACATCGGGCTGTTTGCCGACCGGCTAAGTCAACAGTATCTCAAGCAGAACAAAATGTTTACCGATGATCGATTGTTGTTGTTTGTTGGAGATGGGAGGAAAGTAAACAAACCTAGTTCTCCGATCCTCCGACCTTCCGCTGCGTGCCTCCCGGGAGGAGTAGAGGGGAGGGGGGCGGCAGCTGTCCGTACCTCCCCCCGCTCGTCTCGGGGTCGGGTTCGGGCAAGACGTGATCTGGCAGCCGTGAAGCTAAGCTGTTTTCGCCGTGTGCTTCCAACACTTCACCATGACACCACCTTGTCTTTGCTTACACAGAAGGAGGTTTTTTGCACTGCTTGTTTTCTCAAGGACCCTCCTCCTTTCCAGTTTACTTAACTCCCGCATGTGCTGCGAATTTGTCCCGTTTTTTCTCGGTTACGGTTCATATTTCAGTGTCCCATCTTTTATGCATGTTTACCTGATGTGTTGCGGAGGAGGAGGGGCGAGCCAATGGGCTCCCGTGGCGAGCGATCTCCGCTCGACTCCGCTATCTGCTCGGCCCATCAGCAAATGTGCGAGGTAATTGGTACGGCCGTAACGTATCTGCAACAGAAACCGTCCCGACCACATCAGTGGGACCGTCCCAAGTTTGTTCACACAGAGTGTGTGTGTGTGTGTGTGTATCTGCCGCCTGGAGTGTGTATCGGCAGTCTGGTTGGCCGAGGACTTGCTAATCAGCATCTTTTATTACCGTTTATGCCGGTTTTTGTTTACAGAGCAAATCGCCTAATTATCGAAGGGGGCGTTTACAACCTAAAGCAGTGATGAATTGAGTATGGTAATGACCGGTAGTAGCGGGGCCAACCCACGTGACCGCGCGCACAATTGACATTAGCGACTGTTGCAACTCTCCGGACTTCATACAGGTTTTGGCCACAGTCGAGGTGGGTGGGCCGTGAATTCACGTTTTTTCCCCTGCCTGCCCCGGGAATTGATATATTTACGTTGCAGCACATCTTGCCAGAAGTGGCCGAGCTCTCCTCACGAGTTTCACAGCTGTGGAGTGGACACTTAAAGCAGGCTGACCCCCGCCGCACACCCTCAGTCAGCAGGCCAACCCAGCACCAATGCTTCTCGAGGCGGACGCCACCAGGCCTGTGCATGCTGCTACGCCGGCAGAAAACCAAAACCACCAAGTGCAAACAAGACCGACGCAGTCCCACGCCACCCTTCCCCGGGAGATGACCAGCCAGGGGAGCCATCCGCAGGGCAGCCCGGCCCAGGCCGACCCTGACGCCGCCAGGAGGGACGGCGACAGCCCGGGGAAGACCCACGAACTCGAGCCGGGCGACAAAGAGCTGGACGTGTCGGGTGACTCCGTGTCCGTGCACTCCGACGCGGAGAATACAGACGTGGAAGACAAGAATGGACAGTCTGTACGGAAGAAATCCAACCTTGTGAAACCGCCGTACTCTTACATAGCTCTCATTACCATGTCAATTCTGCAGTCTCCACAGAAGAAACTGACTCTCAGCCAGATCTGTGAGTTTATCATGAACAGGTTTCCGTACTACAGAGAGCGGTTCCCCGTCTGGCAGAACTCCATCCGACACAACCTCTCGCTAAACGACTGCTTCGTGAAGATCCCCCGCGAGCCTGGCAACCCGGGCAAGGGCAACTACTGGACGCTGGACCCCGCCAGCGAGGACATGTTCGACAACGGCAGCTTCCTGCGGCGCCGAAAACGGTTCAAGCGGCAGGCTCCGGACGTGTTACGGGAACCCACGGCCTTCATGGCGGCCACGGATCCGTACAGACACCACCTGGGGCTGATCCACCCGCACCACCACCCTCACCCGGCGGCGCTGCCGTACCACTACATGTCCCCGCTGCCGCCGCCCGTCCCCCTGCCCCTCCCCCACGCGCCGACCGCCGCCGACTTCGCACGGACGCAGGCGCTGGCCGCGCAGATCGCCGGGGGAGTCGGCGCCTTCGCCTCGGTGGGCGGGTTGACCCTGCCCGTCACCACCCCCGTCACGACGCACCGGCCGGCGGGGTTCTCCATAGAAAACATCATCGGGAGCAGCGCTGCCAGCGAGAAGGCCGTCTCCACCACCTTCTCCATCAGCACGACGGGAGCCGCCGCGTTCCGCCCCACCGTGTCGGTCCCCGCCACCATCCCGGTCTGCGCCACCGGACTCAGACCCCCGGACTCCTTACCGTTCGGCGGCGGGACCAGCGCCTTCACCTCACCCCTCCACATGGACCTGGAGAAGTACAGGCAATGTCTGCAGTGCAATGGCAGCGTCCCGTCCTGGCCGCACGTGCACTCGTGATAGCTGGACTGACAGGACTTTTCGTGCTGGGAGCCTAACCCACGAGACATGTAAGTCTCCGGTTTGAAACTTTGACATACATTCTTTCAAGACTTGGACACTACAACAGAGAGGTAGAGCAGCAGTATAAGTTCCCCAGGGGACATTTTGACCACAGTACACGAACGCTACCTATCAGTGTATTATAAAAATTGTGTTAAAAAGTGAAAATTATCCCTTGTGGACCAGGCTTACAAAGTGAGTGATTCCCACTCGGCCAGTGAATTGTGTATAATGTGCTCTCTGTCATTAATTTGCGTAATATGTCGTAGCGTAACAGCAAGGCACTCTGTCAGGTTCTGATAGCACCAGTTAATCTTCATTACGCTAGTGTTGTGCTGTTGTACGGAGAAGCCTGTGCTTCATATCATCCATATCTGATAGAACTGAAAACAGAGAACCCACGGGACACCATCCAGCACCCGTTAATGTATCTCTACCTAGATTTTAACTTCAACCAAAATTATGAATTATTAGCAATAATAAGAGCTGGAATCACACCAGCTTAGCCCAGAAGGCGTTTGTATATAAAATGTAGCAGAGTTTTTTTCCTCTCTCTAATTTATTACGTCGAATTTGATGTCGAAAATTATTCCAAGTGCAGTGATCTTGTTGGGAAGTGTAGCATACATAGGCGTACGTACCCCATTTGTTTTCATCTCAGTTCCACTTACTTGTCCATTGTATCGCCGTCTGTTCGCCTCTTGCTGTAAAAGCCATATGTACACTATTTGGGGTCGACATAATACAGGCGTGCATGCGCCTATAATTGAGAAATAATGGCTGTACACCGAAATCTCTAAGAAAATGAATTCATTCGTCGCCAATTTGAGATGGAATAATATTACTTCGTCATGTACGTAGTTCTTATATGGTGTCTCAATGGCACTCGTGGTATGAATTAATGTAAAACGTGATTTTTTGTAGACAGAAATTATATATTGTTTATATATGTATATCAATTGTCCAGATCGGAAAATATAGTACTGTTCCAAGATTTTTCAAATCTCGAGTTTGTGTGCCGTGATCTCTTTTATCTTTCTGCCTTTCCTTTAGTTTTAGTTCTAACAACTTGAATTTTACAGTCGATAAAAGCTAACAAAAGTATAAATATGATCTAGCATGTACTCCCATACTGGTCTTATATGCAAACTGTATGTTGCACACAATATCGTAGGTGCAAATAATAGTATGTTATACATCAAAACGATGAAGCCGAAATGTTGTAAACCATGAAGCCTAAATAATGAAAGATTAGCGAACAATGCTCTCTCGGAATCCCCATTCTCATGCCTTCTACCATATAAATTAAGAAGTGATTTAGCCAGGCTTTGTTTGGATCATTACGCACACTGGGACATCAAAGCCCGCGACACACCATAAAATGTGGTGGATCAAAAACTCGCCTTAGTTTGTTCTGTGAGCCAGCAACCTTTGAGAGAGAAACTCTTATCACATTCCTTCTTTTCAAACCTTCTTCTTTACTGAAGGAAATTACGTCAAAGCCTTGACAGTTTAACATACAAAAACCCTAAACAAATCTACGTTTTTTAACGAAAATTAGAATGTGTTCCGTTCAAGGAAAGATCCTAACCTGTTAGTCACCGTTGGATGTCCAGATTGTTTCACTTTAGAAGGTGACGGCGTGTTAGAAGATATATCTACTGATAACGGGACAAATTTAGATAGCCACATGTTCAACACTAGTTGTTAGTGTAGATAGAAAAAGATACAGTAGACGGACAAATCGACCGACAGTGGCATCGAAATCTCTTGCGTAGAAAGTGGTTATGATACAGAATTTTGCTTGGAAATCAAGGTTAAATGTAAATTAGTAACTCTCATATGGTGCAAGAGCTTGAGAGAAAATGGCGATAATATACTGGTACGGCACCGCAAAAAATACAAGAACTCTCAGTGCAAATGGAAAGCAAAAAGTTCTCTTTTGTCTGACAGATTTTGGGACAGGCAGGTTTGTTGTATGGTGTGACGATGTCGTGGTCTGGCTGTGCTTATGTCCTGCGGTGTAGAGTCAATATTTCCACGGTCCTTGGTCACTCCACAATGGAGAAGTGGATAAACATTGGAGGAGAACACAAACTTTCCTCCGTCAAATTCTTCTACCAAACCCTAAACGTTAGTTTTAAACTATGTGGATTTTTGTACAGTGGTTACAACTAAGGAAACGTTTCTGTTCTAAATAGGAAGATAAGGAGGTTTAGGAAGGGTAAAAGGTAAATGGTAGGGCAGGAAAACCTAGGGTCAGCGTTGCCATACAAAATCTCTGGGCCGTGCGAGCTAAAGTCGTGGACTTGGAAATGAGTTGAGATCGAATCCACAGACATGACGTG